AGATTCCCCAGTACTGCCTGGTCCCGGTCCTTCGTTTCTTCAGGGAGTCAAGGCGAAAGAAAAATAAAAGTGCATATTACTAATGGAAAGAGGAAAGAAGAAACTGCTCTACTGGACTTAGAACCCAAATAAAATTACACCACAAATAAAATCTCTGATTAAAGTTATACTGAAGAAAAGGCAGGGGAGGGAGGAGAGAGAAAGGAGAGAAACTCCTAGTCCACTTGCAGTTCTGTAATTATGCTACTTATCAAAGGGAAATCGCAACATATTTAGATTTAGCAAGCTAGTTTTCTGGGGAATAACTCATTCATATATAATTAAATTCAATGTTGACAGAAAAGTGACAAAATGAGTGTAGCCAGGAGTGAAGGGGATGAGCTGAAATCCTGCCTATAAATGATATTTTATAGGTTAAAAACACAGAAACGAATACTTTGAAAGAATTTTCTCAGATTGAAAGATTTTTAAGTCTTAAAAAAAAAACAAGTGTATAAGCCAACTTCTTCTTCTTCTTCTTCTTCTTCTTCTTCTTCTTCTTCTTCTTCTTCTTCTTCTTCTTCTTCTTCTTCGTCGTCGTCGTCGTCGTCGTCATCGTCTTCTTCTTCCCGTTCTCCTCCTTCTCCCCCCCCCATTTCTTCCCCCCTTGCTTGCAAAGTTGAATCTGGGGTCAGGAGTTCTAATTGTAACCTCAGACTGGAATTCCAGATGGTGCGCTCTGGACTGGAAGCACCACTCAGTTCATCAATTTCATGGGCTTCCCTATCTGCTCTGGCCACGGCCTGGTCTCTATCCCCACTGTGGCATTAATGCAGAACAAATTGAGACATATCCTCTATATAATTAGTTCCAGAATTTAAAAAGATTTACGGGATAATAATAGAGGCACCGCTGCTGAATCCTTTCATTGGAGGTTCTTTGGGAGCTGGGGAAACGGGGTAAGGCATCAAAACACTGCGGCTCCAGGCACCACGAACTGGGGAAAAGGGCCAATTTTGCATCTCGCACCAGGCAGCGCTAGGTGGTTCTAGTTCCTTAACCAGTTCAGGGAGGACAGTTTGAAGTCCAGATGTGAGATTGGTTAAAAAAAAAAAAAGTAAATAAAAGATCAAGACAACTTTCAAATGAAAGAAGAAGCCTAAGGGTGGTCTGTAAAAAAAAAAAAAAAAAAAAAAAAAAAAAAAAAAAAAGGACCTCCGAGGTTTACATTTTTCTTTTATTTTGCAAAATGAAGCTATGGCCTTTACCAAAAATGCCAGTCTGGAAGCCGTGCCCTAAGCGCGTTCCCTGCAGCCCAGGGCAGATTGCTGACTTAGAAACGCTGGGAGGGAGAAACTGCGCTGTCTTCCTGCTCTTGGGGCTCAGGACACAGCGGCGAAACCGATGATTAGTGGCTTAGAGGTCGGGCCACTCTTGACGCCATTCCCTGGCCCTGGGCGCGGGCCGGCGGTCTCAGCTATTGACAGATCCCAGGGCTTCAGCGTGTTTATTCAATTGTCAACAGCCGCGGGGTGACCAGCCAGATCGCGGCCGGCGTGTGTGCTGGTCCCTGGGGCCACGACAGCGCCCAGGCTCTGACAGCCCTGGGATGAAAGATCTTCGCCCCTCCCCCGCCCCTTTTCCACCTAGACGCGATATCTTAATATTGTAACAATTATGCGCCTTCTAAGACGAGATGGGTACTCTTTGTCCACGTATTGAAGCCGCATAGACTGCCAGGCTCTCTCTTTTCTTCCATATTCCATCAGCACTAAAGAGATAGAGATGATGGTTTAAACTACCCCGGAACGAATTGGACGTTGAAAGTTCAGGTTTTCATTTAAGCTTGACCAAAAATCTTTCTATACACCTTTGAAGAATACCGTTATCAAAGCCCAGTGGTTTAAGAGCAAACAAAACACTACCTTCCTATCTGATTCATCTACAACGCTGAAAGGTGGAGCGCTACTGTCAGCATTTTCTCCTTTGACCACCAATAAGGAAACGGAGGCTCAAAAATACTACAGAACTCATCTGGGGTCAACAGCTGTTGGTTACCAGATGAAAGAGAAATCCTATTCTCAAGCGGCCGGTCCTTGCTCTTAACCACAGTGCTGTACAGCTTGCTTCTTCTACCTCGGTTTCATCTCAGTTTCCCCAGCGTCATGAGCTTAATCTCTGTCTTTGCCTATGGACAGACGGTTCAGAAAGCGATCCTTCCAAGAACTGAGTTTCTGTGCCATCATGGTAGGAAAAAGAAAGAGGGTAACAATCTTAGTTCTCTGTGACCTTCATTTTTCTGGAACCCCGGAGGGCCTCAGATGAAGGAGGTTCAGGGTGCGACACCGCCTGGCCAGGCTCTCACAATCTATTCAGGGCACCCTGAAGGAGTCACCAGCCAGGCATCTGCTGGGAAAATCTCAGGACTCTGGTAAAGAACAGTTACCCAGAGGAGAAAGATGGACCGCGGGAGGAATGAAGCATCCTGTGAGCCCAAAGATTTGCAGGTTCCAGAGCACTCGTTTACCGGTGCTTGGGCTTCTAGACTTGCTGTGGGCCAGGGTATCTCAGGACCCTCCAATCCGACCAGAAGGCCTCTCTGACTGTGCGAAGCAGCTTCCCATTCCCCTCTGCTGGGAACTTCCTATCACTTACATGCTGGTAGAAGTTGGGTCGAGGGGGCACCCTGGAGTTGAAATGAAGAATTAATCCTATGTTTCCTGGGATCACCCTCAAAAATTCTGGAGAAAAGAATGACAGAGGAGTTGAAAAAAAAAATCGGAGCATCTCTTTCCTCTCACCCATGTTTGTATGCCACCTCTCTGCACCAATCCACCCCCAAGCACAAACGAAAAATTTAAACAGGGAGGCAGAGGTTCCTCCTTTTTCATTCCCAAGACACAAAAGTCTCAAGAGCTCACATCAAATTGGCCTCTCTACACATCACTTCCATCCATACCCCCTCTGCACACCACCTCCCAAATCTGCAGGGGACTAAAAAAGAAACTAGCTCCGTTTTCCTTTGGTAATGAAATCCTGGCTCTCCAAGTAGGGCTCCCCTGTCTCGGAGTTCATGTTTAGGAAAAAGACCTCGAAGTAGAAATAAGAGGCCAGGAGAAGGGGAAAGGGACTGGGGGGGGGGTGGCGTGGGACTTTCAGAGTCAGCTCTGCTTAGGGAGTTCTGTCCCATAGGGTCTGTCTCCGCGAAAAAGACGAATGGCCCTGCGTACTATTACTATTACGCTTAGGCATAGAGAATGGAAGAGGAGAGGACAGACAGGGTGTAGGGAGAAACTTGTCTTGGGGGCCCTGCGTTTCTTTAAAAAAGGAGGAGAGGGAGAGGGAGAAGGAGAAAGAGAAGGAGAAAGAGGCTTCTGGTTCACTACAAATCAGTCAAAATTCCAAAGCAGCACGTGCGGGCTCCACACGGTGAAAAGTGAAGAGGCAGCGACAGATAAATTAGCACTTTAACTTTCTTTAGGGTCGTCTTTACCTATATAGATTGTGCAAACCCTATGAGGAGTGAGTAAATGCTTAAGGCAATACTTCCTGAACCCACGCTTCAGGTCCCAAATCAGAATCCATGGCGATTCTGGATTCATGGGTCTGTGTGAGTTAAGACCAACGTGCAGCAATCGGAGAATACACTAAGACGGTCGAAACGCTAGGTTTCTTTGTATTCATGGTCAACTCCTTGGGTGTTGCTTAGCGTAGGTTTACTTGGAAAGCTTAGAGCCTCATCCGGATTCTGGAAGCCTGACTATAACCGGCCGCTTCCCGCCCCGCGCCTGGAAGTCCCAGATAGCACCTTCAAAGTTGCCCCGCTCTGAAAACCTCTTACATTCAGTTACCCGTAGGCTTCTCCTCGCTTACATGTTGCCCCTCACCCCCATAGATCCCACTACTTTAAAAGACTTACATCAATCCAAACTAATCCCCAGACACCTGTTCTAAGTCGAGGGAGTCCCAAACAGCTACAAGGTGGAGGGAGGAGTTGTTTTTGAGAAGTCATTCCCTGGGAATTCTCCCAGCCCTTCGAACACTCTTCTAGCCACGGGCCAAATGGAGCTGCTTCCACGACCCATTTCTTGGTTAGCCTAACTGGTTTGCATCCTCCTCCCATCCCCCATCAATCACCACTGGTCCATAATGGGTTCCTCATCTCTAAAGGAAAACTTGCTTGGCAAAATATCTTTCTGGGACACACTCTTCCTGCTGGTTTCATGGCCACAGTCTCTCCAATCCCATTCCTTCTCAACCTGGAGCTAGAGCATTCTCATCAGAATTAAAGCAGGTTCAGGGCATTCTGCTAAGAGCACCCCCCCACACACACAGAGAACAAACAATTAAACAACAACAAAAACCAGCTGCAATCCCCCCCCCCAGTTAATATATGGTCTGTTAGATACTTCTTGCTGCAAAGAGCCAGTAAGTGTCGTCTATTCTGATTTTAGGTAGGCAGGCACCGCTTTCTGGGTTCCAGCCTCATCAAAGAATCAATTACCAGACAACTGAAACCGTCCCGCCTGTCACAACTGACGTCACACTTCACAATTACCATCTGGAACAATTTCACCTTGAATCTCAACCCTTGAACCGACCTCCTAAAGTGACCCCCAAGGTTAGGCTCTGGGTTTCTGGACTTGAGAAGGTGTAAGACTCAAAGTTAGTCTATTCTCAGAACCCAGGAGAATTCTCTGGGCTTTCTGGTTCCCGCCCTCTTGGAGCCCACCCGCCCCTCCCTCCACCCCACCCTCTGATTAACAACCCTGGACTCTACTCCCACCTCGATCCGGTGTGCCCAGGGGCTCACACTGCTTACCTAGAGGGCCTTGCCTTAAGGCGCCCACACTCGGGAAGGCCAGCTGGGAAGGCAAGGGAGGTTTGCTAGACAGGCCAGTTGCGAGCACGTGGTGGGCCAGAGAGGAGGGTGTCTCTGAATTGAACGCTCCCTCGGGCCCGCCCCACACCCCTGCTACGAGTACCCCGGACAAGCGGCGCGCGCTGCCGGGGCAGGCAAGGGCTGGAGTGTGAATGGAGCGGCCGAGCATCCTGGCTCCTCCTCCTTCCCCCGTTGCCGGCCCCTCATATTTGAGCTTTGGGAAGCTGGGGGCAGCCAGGCAGCTGGGGTAAGGAGTTCAAGGCAGCGCCCACACCCGGGGGGCTCTCCGCAACCGGATCGCCTGCCTGCTCCCCCTTTCCCGCCCTTCCTCCCACCCACTCATTCACCCACCCACCCAGAGCTAGGACGGCAGCCCAGGAACCCGGGCCCGCCGCCTCCTCGTCGCGATCCTGGACTTCCTCCTGTCGCAGGAGCCAGCTTCCACGTGTGTCCCAGAGCCGGCATCTCAGCACACGCTCCGCTGTGAGCCCGGGTGTCTTCAGCAGCAGGAGCAGGCGGGGGATCGAGGCCCCCGCAGCACCTGGGCCAAGTCCAGTGCCGAGAGTCCGCAGGATCGCAGGAGCGGAGGGCCGTCCGGGTCCGAACCGCAGCTGATGGGTTCCGACGTGCGGGACCTGAATGCGCTCCTGCCCGCAGTGTCGTCGCTGGGCAGCGGCGGCGGCTGCGGACTCCCCGTGAGCGGCGCGGCGCAGTGGGCGCCGGTGCTGGACTTCGCGCCTCCGGGCGCCTCGGCTTACGGGTCGTTGGGCGGTCCCGCGCCTCCTCCCGCTCCGCCGCCGCCTCCGCCGCCACCCCACTCCTTCATCAAACAGGAGCCCAGCTGGGGCGGCGCCGAGCCTCACGAGGAGCAATGTCTGAGCGCCTTCACCTTGCACTTCTCTGGCCAGTTCACCGGTACAGCCGGGGCCTGTCGCTACGGACCCTTCGGTCCTCCCCCGCCCAGCCAGGCGTCCTCAGGCCAGGCCAGGATGTTCCCCAATGCGCCCTACCTGCCCAGCTGCCTGGAGAGCCAGCCCACTATCCGCAACCAAGGTAAGGAGTCCGGACAGCCCGCTCTCCATGCGCGGCAGTGGCTAGGCTTCCTCGTCCTATGTGGCTTCTCTTCTCCCGGTTCCTTCCAGACCCCAGCTCTTACCCAGATTTTGTCTCCAAGAGTCTGAAAGTAGCCGCTGCCTGGGAAGGGGAGAGTGGGCTCCATGAAGTGCTAGCACACACACACACACACACACACACACACACACACACACACACACACACTGCTGAGCAAGACCTCAGAGTCCAATAGTTCGCAGGACCCGGGAGGACATTTGGGGTCCCAGGGTCCCTGAGAGATTCTGTGACTTCACGGGAAACGGAAAAGGGCATTGATTATAGCGTGTGGCTCTATAGTGGGAAAGGTCTGATGCTCCACTGAATTACCACCAGCGGTCCACCCTTTTAGATTTCAAGGGCAGACTTAGATAGAGGACTCAGGAATTGGGTCAGCGTTTAGGGACCCTGTATAATGCCTCTGATAGACCCAAACCGGAAGAAACCCTAGCTCTCCCCAAGATGTAGGCTCACTTCAGGCCCACAAGAAGCAGAAGAGAGCTTTGGAATGAGGGATTGACACTTGGGAGACCTGGTAAGGGTTTGCATATAGTTTGTGGGAAAGGTAGCACTGTAGGGATCACTCCAGGCCATGCAAAGTCGCAAAGTTAAGGGCCACGCAGGAGGCGGTGGGACTGGAAGACAGCCTGGCTGGTCCAACTAAACCTTAAGAAACCAAATCCGTGAAGTGAGTCTGGAAAAAGGTGGCCTTCTTTCAGCACTCCTTGGGTGCTTCCTACACACACACACACACACACACACACACACACACACACACACACACACACGGATGTACGTTAGGCTGGGGAAAGGTCCCTGAGGCATGGGACACTGGAATAAGAACAAGAAAGAGTATTGGCGATTGGTGGATCTTCAGTCGATGTACAAGGGACATTGCATGCAATAAACATATTTCCTAGCTCTCTCAGGCTCCACCACACCTATCCTTCGTTTGCACCCTGGCAGAACCATGGTTGCTAAGCCACTGTAGTTCCTTTCATTTGTTGGCGTTTGATTTCTTTGCTATTGAGAATCTAATTTGGTTTGATTAGATGTTTTGGGAAAGTACTTACTAGCACAGAGGCGGATGATTTTCTTGAACCAAGAATTTTGCTGTCCTCGGTCTGGGTGTTTCTGAAATGTGTGGGAAGGGGAAAGCGGGTTGGGTACTGTTTGCAGGAGGCACAGAAGGGTTCTGGGGTCTTCTGAACCCGTCCAGCAGCCCCTCGACCACCAGAAGCTCTAGCGAAACCGAAACCACTGAAGAATGGGAGCTGTTGGTCTCAAGGAGCAACCTGGAGTGGACTGGGGTGGTGGTGGTGGTGTCCCTCTGTTTTAGGTCTTTCATAAATTAGTGTTTTGTACAAGAGATGTTGGAATTGCTCAGTGCCTTTGCAGAGGCTTTCAGATCATGCCATCACTTTCTAGTAGGCAGGTGTTACCGTTTTCCAACCTCCAGGTCACTTTGCTGATCTCATAAGAGGAGAGATGAGATAGGTTAGGACGAATGTTACAGGCCAAACATGAGGAAGCCTGACCAGGCTCTGAATACAGAACACACAGTTCACCTAAATCTCCCTGGCTCAGAGACCATGCCACTGTCAGGCATGTGTATAACTTCAGTGAGCATGCCTGTTATTTGGAGAGACTCACTGACCTATAACCCTCTGGGGAGCAAATACTAATATACCACCATCCTTTTGAGTAGTCCTAGGCTCATGGGGGCTTTGTTGTTGTTGTTGTTGTTGGTGGTGGTGTGTGTGTGTGTGTGTGTGTGTGTGTGTGTGTGTTTAGCTTTCTGCACTGCAAGTCTTATAGAAGCTGGTAGTAGATGGTGGATGGGACTGAGAAATTAAAGCCTGAGGACATTACCCTTACACTCTGGTGCGGGGTGTGTGTGTTCCAGATTCTTCTAAGGAAGAAAGAGCTTCCTTAGGAGCTGAGGGTCAGGACCAGCCAGCCAGTGAAGCCTCCCCACCAAGCTCAGCTCTTCTTGTGATACACAGGAAAAGGCAGGAGGGGAGGTGTCTTCAGAGTAGGGTCACACCCTGGAAACAGGTTCCTGTCAGGGAACTACCCTTTTCTCTTCTAGTTAAAGCAAGTGGGTTGTACAGGTACAGTCTGGGAATTGTGAAGCTGCTGTCCCCCCCCCCCGCCCCCAGGTAGCAACTAGGGCAGATCCTTGAGTTCCCAGTTCTTTGAATTCCGTTCCTTTTATTTCTGGAGTTCCTGCAGATCGGTTCAATAATGCAAGATTTAGTTTGGAGTTTTGATTGGGAGGTGACAGCTGTCCCTGGAAAGTGGGAGAATCAGCTTGCTTGCTGTGAAGAATTCAAGCTGTCTCTAGTTACCTGTATGCAAACCAGGAAGCGTAACTATGGCACTCACTCATTCTGTCTTCTGTTTCTTAAGGACACGCCCCTATTTTTTAATATAGCTGTCGCCCTAATCGTCTAAACATTAATTTAGCAAACACCAAAACCTTACTCTGTGTGTTGGGGGTGTAGATTGTCCATTAAGACAGCTAATGGCTATAGGCACCTTTACAAGAAGAACATAGCCCGAGATAGAAGGAGTGAGCCTCTTAATACTGGTCGCTGAAATCCAGGCACTAGAGGATTAGACTTCAAGGGGCCTCTTCGCTTTTGGCAGAACTAGTACGTGAACCCACATTTTTTCTTCTCCCCCCCCTCCCGAAATTTGACTGCGTGGTTGAAATGGATTTTCTCTGCCCAGTTGAATAGGCCCTGATAACTTGTGAGTGTGAGATGGTTGGAAAGTCTGTCAGGACCCAGAAGTGAGGGTGAGGATTTTCCTAGTCTGGCCCCAATGTGGCCTTGTCAGTGGGCTTTTGACTTCCCACCCCGGGCTAGCGGTCACATCAGCGGGAGTCTAGGCCCTGGGGATCTGCCCTTCCCAAGCTGGTCACCAGCAGAAAACTAGCTGTGACGGGGCCAAAGGCGCCCCCCTCCGGTTACACCAAAGACAGTAGTTGGGTGGGAGTGAGAACTCCACTTATCTCGAGGCAGCGAGATTTTTGAGATTTTCGGGAACACCTTCCAGGCCTAGACCACTGTAGAATCTCCCGGTCTCCTCAGGGCCAGGCTGGGCCAGCCTGTTCCGGGCTCCTCCGCAGTGGAGGCAGGGGAGGAGAGCTCAGGGCGTTACGCTCCTTCCCGCAATGTCAAGGTTGCTCCCCCCTCCCTGGTCCAGACCAATCGTGGGAAAGTGGCTACCTTGGCCTGGAGGGCCTCTCCCTGCAAGGCCGGGACAAGAAGCGTTTGAAGACTTTTGATACTTCGCAGAGTCAGCAGTCTCTCCCCCGACACCACTCCGCCCTCTTCGAGCTGGGCTCAGCTCAGTCCGGGTACAGCGGGTTCCTAATCAGCCCTGGTTCTGATAAGCTTCTAATTAAAAGAGCTCTCCCTCCGATCCCGCTGCTCTCACTGTTGCCCCTCCCAGGAGCCCCGAGGGAGGGGCTCGAGGTTGCTGCTGCCCGCCAAGGTCTTCCGTCTCACCTCCGACTTGGTGGGTAGGGAGCCTTGCCGGACGCCCGCATCCTCAAGCCGGAGTTCGGGAGTGCCAGCGGAGGTTCCCAGCGTGGGAGCTGCAGCCTAGCTCCAGCAGCTCTGGCTACCTGCAGTTGAGCAGCGGGTCTCAGACTGTGCGTGCCTTAGGTCTTTGGCTGCTCGGCTCAGAAATGGAGAAGGGTTCGTTTAGAGAAACTTTCTTTATTGCCTCTACTTCCTCCTTGGCCCCCCTTTTTTGTTTAAGTGCTCTTTCACAAACTCCTCATTTCTGATGGGAAAACTCGGGTGGGTGCCTAGACCCATATTTCGTTTGAAAGCTGTAGGCCTCAAGTAGGGCCAGGCCTTTTCTCTGAAAAGGAAGTCTCTGGAAGGCCAAATGTACTTATTGATCCACACCCAAGAACTATTAGGATTGGAGATTATCTTTTCCCACTTCACAGGAAGAAAAATGAGGCACTCTGGGCTCACCCAGGTTGAAAAACTGGCTGATTCCCCAGTCACTAACCAGAGCTCCTGGGCACTCCTCTTCCCGGGACATAACTCCGTAATTCCCATGGTGCCTCACTCCATTCCTTCACTGCGGAAACAAGTCAATCTGGCCGCATCTGGCCATGTGCATTTACTGCTCTGGAGTGACCTGGATAGTTTGGGCAGTGGGTGTCGCCTTTATATTTTGAAGTTGGCGATAACTGGCCTCCTGTCTCTGTACAGAATGAATAGTCGTGGCGACTTCTTATTGAAGAACCTTGATCAACCGGTGCAGACTTTGTTCTACCTTAGTCCCTAGAGAGTTTTGGCTTTAGAGACTGAGCAGTAGGAAGCCATTGGGGCTGCGATGATTGCTCTGAAAGGAAGGAGAGTAGCCACTGTGAGGGTCCAGTCACCTCTCATTTGCATGCTATCCTGCCAGTCTAGGTTCCCTCTTCCAAGCTTCACCACAGGAGGGGGAGGGCCCACCCTCCTAAAGTTCTTTGGAGGGTTCTTAGGATGCCCTCCCTTGTCCCAGCTCGAGTTTTGGCAAAGCAGGTGGGATATGTGTTTGCATAAATTTAATAACAATATCAACACAATAATAAGATTTCCAAGGCTCCACAGTGCTTTTCATCCATTTGAGGTATAGGAAAGAGCACCAGTCTCTGTTTCTCAGCAGGGAAACTGAGGCAAGGAATGAGACACTGCTACCCAGGGACAGGCAAGGACAGTGTCCCACACACTGAAATGTTAGTCATTACAGCAGTGATCAGAGGTAGCCCCTCTGAGCCCCAGGTAGGTGTGGGAAGGGAAGAAGGACTCAGCCCAGCTGGAAGGGTCATTTCTTTCCACCCACACAAGCCTTCCTAAAGACCTTGGGTGTCTTGATGTCAAGCTGTGCATGCCAGAGAGGTAACATGCCCTGGTAGTTAGTTCTTTCTGCATTTAAAGCGCAGACCGTTGAACTGGCCCGGGTAATTAATGAGCTGGTGTATGGCCCCTGATTTACAGCCCCGAGTCAAAGCGGGGTCAGCAGAGGAAACTCAGTCCTCTGGGCCAAGCCGACCCCGCACGAGAACCTCGGTGTTGTTTGTTTTTTAAGAAAGACAATGTCTCCGGCAGGCGATGGTTTTTACACCTATCTTGGAGGAGGCTCTATTCAGCAATGGAAGACTGAGGCATAGAAGAATTGTGGAACAGATGGGAGCTTGGGATTTTAGTTGGGGAAAAGGATGAAATGAGGTCATGCCTACTTTAAGCCTGAACGAGGTCCTAGTCGAAGGGGCGGGGAACCCTTTACTGATGACATAAATTCCAGAATCAGGTACCCAATGCCACCCGAGTTTAGTAGCACCAATGCCCCTGCCCTTTCCTGAGCCTAACTGATTCTGTATTCTGTGCTTCTTTCCATCGGTTCCTCAGGATACAGCACCGTCACTTTCGATGGGGCACCCAGCTACGGGCACACGCCCTCGCACCATGCTGCGCAGTTTCCCAACCACTCCTTCAAACACGAGGACCCCATGAGCCAGCAGGGCTCTCTGGGTAAGTGGATGGAAAAAATGCGGGTCTTTACCCGCAGCCTCCATCTATCTCACCACTTCCTACCTAGATTTCCAAGCCTTAGCAAATTGGGGAAGGGAATAGAGAACACCTAAAGGGATCCTAGAAATAATAGCTGGCTTTACTCTATTTGAAAGTTCAAAGCTCCTTCCATTCCAAGTAAGTTACGAAAAAGTGCCACTCAGACAAGGCAACTAATGCCAGAGAGTGACTACAATGCAACCTTAAGCGAGGAAAGTTTCCTTCCCTGGTGAGATTGGCTTCGTGGCTGGCGCCAGGCCCCACTGTCTGAAGCTCAGCAAGGCTCTCCCCCGCACCAGAACCCCTGCCTGTGCCCTACACTCCTGAGTCTCCTCATTGCAACCCTTGGCTCTCCTGTAGGCGACCAGCAGTATTCGGTGCCACCCCCGGTGTACGGCTGCCACACCCCTTCGGACAGCTGCACTGGCAGCCAGGCCCTGCTGCTGAGGACGCCTTACAGCAGGTAAGAAGGCGCGGAGTACCGCGGCTGTGTCCTGGTGACCCTGGAGGTGCAGATGAGCGGTCCAGCAAGAGAAAGCCAGACCCTGGTCATCACTGACATCAGGAAGGTCTTGGAGGAAAAGAAAGCCTGTACCGGGCCCAGACACTCAAATTAAAGCAGGTGTCTTGGATATAAATTTGCTTTGTATGTAAATGAGGCCGTTATGTTTGGATATAAAAAGGAAGCTGCGGCCTTCACGGGTTATTTCTTTCCTTTGGTTTTTCGAGACAGATTTTTCTGTGTATCTCTGGTTGTCCTGGTACTTGCTCTGTAGGCCAGGCTGGCTTCGAACTCAGGGATCCACCTCTCTCATTTTCCATTTTCTCTTCCTCCCTCTTCCTCCCCCCCTCCCAGTGCTGAGATTAAGGGAGTGCGCCACCATGCCCGGTCACGATTTATTTCTCAATGGTCTGCTGGGAGCCTTTTAACTTCCCCAGGACCAAAAATTAAGGACCAAGTCCACTCCCACTCCATCCTTTTGTTTAAAGCCTTCTGCACCAACGGTCCACAGGGGCCAAAGTACTTAGACTGCGTCTAGTGTGGGACACATCCTTCCTCTCACCCTTACCCTCTAGCGGGGTTTTTTTTTTGGGGGGGGTGTGTGGTAGTGTTCTGTGAACTTGGTATGTGGCAGCCCTTTGTGCGTTCTGGGCTGAGACCCTTTGCTCTGGAAGGTGTCTGCAAGCACAGGCTTCTGGAGAAGGAAAGTCAGCTTTTTTTTTTTTTTTTTTTTTTTTTCCTTTACCGAAGCTCTGTTCCCTCCCCCTTCTCTGGTCTCTAGTTCCACTCTCCACCTTTTCTCCCCCAAATTTATTCTTCAACTTTGGGTGAACTTGGCCGGCATCCCGCGCGTCTCAGATAGGGTTGCTTAGTAACTGTGATGCACACACACCGGTCCGCTGGAAGGTGGCTGCGATGGTCTTGGCTGCAGAGGATTGGGTGCACATTACCTCACCGCCCCCCCCCCTCCCCGTACTGCGGGGATCCTGACACCGACTGCCCCAAACCCATCCCCATCCTCCCGCCCCTTGGCTCCGGGAGGCTGACGTCAAGGGAAGGAGGTAGTGAGGTAATGAAGGAAGGAAAAGCTTCTGTCTTGGGAGATTGGGTGGGGGAATGGCCGCGCCTGGGGACGTACAGTCCCTCTGGTGGAGGATGGGCACGTGCTTGCTCTAGATTCTGGAGCCTACGGTGCAGAAGTGCATCCTCAGGTCTCAGGTGCATTTATGAAATTGACTCTGGGGCTGGTCTGACTCTCCCATCCGGGTATCGGTATCGGTATCAAGGCACCACGCTTGGGCTTGCTCTTCTATTTTTGCCCTCAGCAAAATCTGCAGTGCTCAGATTTTAGAAACTTTTCTATTTGATGTGAAAAACCTATCATATGTAACCGGATCTTAGATTTGCATCACTTCTTTTACGGCAGGAGGCAGAGAAATGTATGCCCAAGGTACAGAGAGGGTCACATATCTTTTCTCCCTCCCTAGCTAGAAAGTGCTGCTGGCACCACAGAACCAACCTGCTATCCTGAGGCCACAGTCCCAGTGGGGGCAAATCACCAGTACTCAAGATTTGCATGGGCTCCCTGCTGAAAGCCTCTTCCCTTATGGGGACTGTGGCAACAGGCCACAGACATCCTTCCTGTCTACTGCTAGAGTGTCATCGCTGGCTGTTGTTCTAGTAGCTATAAGGGAGGCCTCTGGAACGGTTCCCGGTGTGAAGACCTTGGTCCCTCAGTCAGGAAAAAGAGCTTGGTGGAGGTGTAGGAGTGGGCATTGTTGAGATGGGGCCTTCTTGAGGGCTGGAGGCCGGGGGGGGGGGGGGGGGGCTGGCAAGATCTCTCTCTCTCTCTCTTCCTCTCTCTCTCTCTCTCTCTGTGTCTGTGTGTGTTACTACAGACACATCCTTCATTCCTCTTTCTGCCAAACTCAGCCCATACTGAGGGACTCTAGGAAGCATATCCATCAGAAAATGATCACAATCTTTGATTTAGTGTTGTTTTTCCAAACAAAGTTTGAATTTTTTAAATGGATTTTTGACTTGAGGGGATCTGTGGTGGATTTTAACTTGGGGATGAATCTGTGGTTACTATCAAGAAGGGGAAAGTCATTCCAATTTTTACAGTTTTAGTCACTGGGGCCTCTTTCATGCTGAGCATCTTCTCTACCACTGAACTATATTACCCTATATACAAAACATATTTTCCTAGCCTGGCTTCTGGCTGGTCATTGTTAAAAGCAATTTTGTCAGATTCACCTTGTATAAATATTTTCTTGTCCCTTTATTCTGTCTATGATGTTCTAAGACATTCTATGACATTTTGACCTTGTTTTTACACTGATCTCATAAAAACAGCGTTTTCTTCCACAATAGAAGTTTTCTAAGTACAAACACAGCAAAGACAATTGAAAGGCTTGTAGGAAAAGAGCTTGCTCCCTTGAAGCACCCATGAGAGTCTTTGGTGCTCCTCTCACCTTAAATTCACAGCGTTGATAAGCTCTTGCCCAAAGTCACATAGCTTTCCCACAGGAATGATAAGTAGGCAAGTATACTGAGGTTGCATACTTCTTTCTATTTCTGAAAAACATGTGCAGGGTGTTTGAACACTTGGGTGAATGCAGCATTTAACTGGCACAGAAAATGGGAGCAAACTTTAATTGCTAAGTGGCTTAACTTCTGAATTTTAGGTGTGGCTACTTGCTGATCCTTGGCTTGGTACCTTTTCCCTTCTAAAGTTGGGAACAACAGAGAAAGAAAGGCTTGCTTGCATTTTGTCTGCCTTGCTGCATTTGGTACCCTGAAGCAGACTGCTCAGCCTCCTGTCTCTTGCTTCCTCCCACCTTAGCCTTTTCTCCCCATATAAACTTTTTTTTCTCCCCAGGCTTGGGATCTAGTTTCCTTCTCTTGTTTGAGAGAGAAGAAATGGTACACCTGTGGCATTAAATAAGCTGAGTACTAATGTGAGTCTGCTTTGAAGAAGGTCTCAAAATTTAATCTCTTTGTCCACTATACCATTCTCTTCTCTCTACATTAGCATGCTCAGCTCACCCATTAATCTTACTACCTGTGAAGTAGATGCTGTAATTTCCATTTTACTGATGAAGAGGTTAAGTTTAGAGACATCTTGATGACGCTCACAGTGAGAGTCCAAAGCCTACTTGTACTCTGAAAGTGAGTGATTCTGGACCACTTGCTTGAATTATGCCTTTTTCTGTGCCAGAATCTTTCATTGATAAGCAGTAAGTGCAAGTGCTTGCACAGACCTGTCACGTGTCTGGTGCCATTGTAAAGTACCTCATGGGTACTGATTGCTTTCATCCACACCACTGGTGTTTGAGGTGGACACTGGGTTATCACCTCCATTTTACAAAGGAAGAAACTGAGACCCTGAGAGGTGATTTTCCCCCCCAGTGGGACATGGTAAGAAATATCATTTGGATTCAAATTCAAATAGTGAGGATACGATACATTCTTCCTCTCTGTATCCTGCTTTCTCTCACTCTCTGAAGATGGTATGTGTCAACATTCTTGTTAGAGGATTGACTTTATTTCCCATTGTGGTGGAAGTCCATTTTGCTCAGCTACCATAGACAGTGCTACAGGCAGTGTTTTCCCTGGTGGGTACTGTCAAAAGCAGCATTATTCTCCAGATTCCTTCAGCTTCATCTTCACCATGGGCATGCAGCACTGGGATGAAGCTCCGTACAATAGAAGCCTCCTCCGGACTTCCAGCATATAAATCTGTCTTCTCATTTGCACTGCTCTAGGGGGGCTGCTTCTGGGCCTCTGCTGGTTTGTGCTTGCCCAGAAGCAAGATCTCAGGGAAAAAAAAAAAAAAAAAAAAAAAAAAGACTACATCATCTCCCAGAGTGAGGAGAAATGAAGTCCAACCTCATGTAGCAGAACCCATTGTAATTCTACCTAGACAAGGCAGCTAGATGGGCACTGTTTGCAAGCTTTGCTGTTTGGCTCTTCCACTTGCTAACCCCCCCCCCCCACCCAGTGCCACCACTCCCTGCTTACACAGGGTGAGCCTGGTCTCAGAGCTACTTTGAAAAGTTTGAAACGTATTTCTATTTGTACTGATTTTTTTTCGTATTCTAGTTGTTTTTTTTAATCAACCCTTTGGCTTTTTCTATTTGTTTTACGTGTCTTTCTTTGTTAAAAATTGTATGTATCTGTTTTCTGTATATGGTGTTTTGTCTGCATGTATATCTCTGTACCATGTATATTCAGTGACCAAAAGAGAGAGTTAGATTCCCGGGAACTAGAATTACAGGTGGTTGTGAGCCTCCACGTGGCTGCTGAGACTTGAACTCTGGTCTTCTGGAAGAACAGCCAGAGTTCTTAACTGCTGAGTCATCTCTCCAGCCCATAGCTTTACTTGGATTTCGTTATTCATGTTACTGGCTAAAATAAGATTTCCTTTGTCCTATGCTTGCTCTTTAGTAGGTAGCACTACTCCAATTAAAAAAAAAAAACTTATGCTTTAAATATTTTAATGGAATGTTGATGGTTCAAATATTGATGTGGTCAGTAGAGCCCGTGACCCGTTAATTTCACAGATGATCAACCACCTTAGCAGCCGTAGAATTTCTGTGGAATCGTGGAAACTGTAGGTTAAAAGGATATTCATGATTTGCCACATGGGTATAGCTTCAATTAAGTCATAAATCAGGGGACAGCTGTACTCAAAATAAAATTACCATTAATTTCCCCTGTCTTCACTTGTGAAACCATGTACATCGTACAGTATATTTTTATATTTGTTTCCCACAGAAGCTAAAATGGAAGGTCTGAAGTGGTTTCCAGGGTGGTGGGCCATGTTGTCAAAGCCACAAGCTTGAATTGAACCTGTCTCCAGGGAGGGGAAAAAAATTTAGTTCCAAATATTCCTGTAACTTGTGTGCTGAACAAGTGTTTATTATTAGAAATTGAATCCCTAGTGGGTTTTTCCTTGGTTGGCTGGTGAGCTCGAGAGCAAACACAATACCAAGAGAGCGACTATGAAATAATTATTCACTGTAGCCTGCTGGGCACAAAGTTCAGGCCAGTCAGCCTCTATGGCGCCGAAGCCCAGAGAAAAATCAGTCCAGGGAAAAAGGTTCTGTGGAAGTCTGTGTGTCCTCTCCCCATATGCACCTTGCAAGGCCATGGAGACCTTTCCCTTGGTACAGGGTTGGGCCATCATTCACAAACCTTTATATCAGAGTCTTACCATTGGTGTTAGATATCTGTATTTTTCAAAAATTGTTTGTTTGCTTTTTAATCCTCGGGAAAGCTTTACCTGTGCTGAGATCCTCTTTTCCCAGCCACAGACAGTGGCTGAAGAAACTGTGATCTCAAGCAGGCCAGTTAGATGATTCTGAGAGGACCCTTTCTTCTGTCAAATATAGTAAACACACTTAAACATGGAAACGTGCTTGAGGCCACTGCATTTGAAGAGTGGAGGAGTTCTGGTCTAGATAATAGTGGAGAGGTTTTTTTCCCCCCCTTCCTTTCTTTTGTGTAGAGGTCAAGAACACAGTAATTCTGCAATCCAGGCCAAAACAAACTATACGATCTACTACTGATTTCCTTTTAAGTTCCCCCTTTTGCTAGGACCGACTTCCTTTTATTTTACTCCAACACGCATTAATCCCAGCTATAGATGTTTCTTTCTTTTCTCCCTTGCCTCTGACTTCAAACATTTTTTTTTTTTTTTTTTACATAGGAAACAAGTGACTTAAAAAAAAAAAAACCCCTACATTAGGAATATATTTTGGCAGCGTGTAGCTTCAGGATCCACTTCCAACCAGGCAGAGCTTAATGGTTGGAGCTGAAATGTCTACGTGACCACTGGGGCTGCCTTGAGCCAAACCACATGCTTATCTGATTCCTTCTGAGGGTGAGGTGGTGGACACTGACCACGGCCATTTCATAAGTAAATGCTCCATTCGCCAGAGGTCAGCATTCCCTGAGTGATGCTGCCTCTTTCCCCGGGGCTTCCATGATGAGAGCTGGGCGTTGACTGATTGCCCAGAGAGATCACAATCTGACTACAGTGTGATCCAGTATTTTTAGCTCAAGTTGACATTCTGCTCTCTGCAGCAGCAGTTACTGTCATTGATTCCACTGGCTTTGGATGAAAAGCGGTGTCATACAGCCAGCAAGCACACTGAGCCACTGTGGAGCCCTAACCAGCAGAAGGCAGGGTATTGCTAAGGAAACCTACTAATAGCTTGGAGATACTCTGCAATTCCTTCTCCCCTGTTCCATGTCCTCACCCTCCCTCTTTTGAAGCTTTATAGCTGAGATATCAGAATAACTGGAGCACAAAGTGTTGGGAGATCAGTCATGGGTAGGGTGGATGGACTATCTTCAGTGGGTAGAAGAGGATACAACATCCCTGCATCCGTGGTCCCCTCCCCCCCCCCCCCCCCCCCCCGCAGCTTTCATGAGATGCTGGTCCTGATGTTCCTTTGGATGAACACCTCCTCTGGTCTTTCACCTCAGATTCTTCCCTGTACTGTTATATAAATGATACGTAGGTTCAGATGTTGAATCATGCCCAGGATCCTCTAAAGGAGCAGGGAAGAGGGTTATCAGGCATCCTAGCAGCAGGTACCTCTTGGAGTGCCAGTCCTTGTCTGTCAAAGGGGGATGATAATTTCTTGAAGTTGTTTGGAGTGATGCTGAGAATATACAGATGTGCCAGCTAAAATGTGGCAGTTAGAAAACTATATTCACCACACTGTCTTCAGAGAGCCAGTATGAGCATCAATCTTTTTGAGCCTTACAATATCCCCATAAAATGAGACTAAGATTAATTTTCTCATTTGACAGATATGAAATCTGAGGTACAGAGAATTGAATAGAAATTTCCTCAGATTTTTCTCATAGACTCAAAACACAATCTCATTGATTCCTAAGGATCTCTATACAGAAAGATTACAAGTAGAAAATATCCTTTAAAAGTTATTACTTAACATTTTATTGTTACTATTTATTATTATTTATTGTGAGAGTATGATTATTATGTAAATGGCAGTGAACTAAACTCAGATGCCAAATGCTTCCAGAGGAGCAGAACATACCAAATGCCACTCATAAGTACCACTGTATAGTAGAAATGTGCTAGCAACAACATTAAAGTAAGAAAAAAAAAAAGGCTTGTTTTGTTGCATAAAACATTGTACTTGACCTAGTATAGCCACACTTTATTTCAATGAGGCTCTATTTCTGGTGTTCAATAGCTACACATGGTTAGTGGTTGCCATACTGGACAATGATATACAGAGGGTTTTTTTTTGTTATTAACTATTCTATAGGAAGACACACATGTATATGTCCTCTATTTGAGAAAATTCTTACTGGGGACCAAAGAAATACATTTATAGGTATTTGTCTTTAAGATCCTTTTGTGTTGAGGCAATTAGGAATCTATGCATTAGCCTTAGAAAACCTCTAAGTATAAATTTAGAAATTTGGTACTCATTCATTCATCCGTATACATCAACTTCTGCTACTCACCTTATTTCCCATCTTTCTTGCAAATGACCATAACCAGGCTTAGTGGTTCATGCCTTTTTAATCCCAGCACTCAGAAGGCAGAGACAGGTGGATCTCTGTGAGTTTGAGACCGGCCTGGTCTACAAAGTGAGTTCCAGAGCAATCAGGACTGTTACACAGAGAAACCCTGTCTCAAACAAAACAAAACAAATAATAATAATAATAATAATAATAATAATAATAAAAGATTATTCTGAGTCTTATGTAAGGACTTTGTCTTATGTAAGTCATTCTAGAGAGACCCCACATCCCAATGGAGCCAAATTGTCAACTGCAGCTGAGTGATTTTAGTTGGTGAACAATTTTTTAAAAATCGGTGACAAAAATATAGAGCTACCTGGGGAATACAATGCCCCTTGGCTGAGATTAATGGCAAGATTAATAAATGGATTGCTTGATGAAAAGGCACAGGAGAACAAAAACCAGCAGAGGCATCGTGGAGGAGGCCGCTTATTAATGAACTGTCAGCCCAAAGAAAGTTCAGGAAATTCTGCTGTGCTAAATGTAGCAGGCTGGCACTGGCACTTCTAATAAAAGTTGGGGTCTTTCAGGAATTAATTACATCAGCCTTACAGAAAGAATTCGTGGAATTGTGAAATGCAGTGGCACAGACTAGCACGGGCTGACTCTGCACAAGGAAGCTCCAGAAGAAACTAATCTTTTCTTTCTTTCTTTTTTTTTTCTTCCCATTGATATGTAGGATATTGTGGTAGCATAATAGCCAGTCAGACACAGGGATGAGTGATGGGGTCCAGATATACACTGACTAATGAAGCTACACATACTTGGAGTTTGAAGTCACTCCACTCTTCATATGCAAAACTCTCCTCCTGGAAACTGACTTCCTCCTAAGCTGGTGCACCGGTCTTAAGGAGTTCTAAATAATTTGCGGAGAGATTTTAGGAGAGTCATATGGACGCTCCTGTTATTTATCGAGCAAAGTTGAGAGCGAGCGGGCACACAACTATCTCCAGTGACTCGGAGTGGTGTGATTTTTGTCGCCCCTCCACAAGTTCTCAGTTCAGTTGGCCCAGAAAATCCTTTCTGAATTAAAAACTCCTAGTGCCTCTGCCTGGTGCAGCAAGAGAAAGGAACACTGGCACAAGCCAGGAGATTGTCAGGGCTTCGTGATCTGGTATCATGCATTAGATACTGAATGCTTATCTCTGTTCGTTCTGCAGTGAAGGTAGGGTGAAATTTTTCTTCTGTAATACATTTAGACTGAAGGTTTCCAGGCAGACTATTAATCTCTTGGGCCTCGGATTTCATAATTAACCCTTTCGGTTCTGCCCTAAATGTCTTCCCGATAGGGCTTGGTCATTATAGATTTCATTGATTTATGTGTTAGTAATGAGATACACTATGGAGAGAGAATAGCTCTTGGTTGGTTTACATGGAGGTGTATTTTCACCTTTGAGCTTTAATGTAAATCATAGGCTGTTTAAATTTTTTCTTAAAACTTCACTTGACTTTCACTAGGTTTATAAAATACATACAGAATAATTGCTTAGCTGTGTGCTGAGAGTATTGCCCTGTTTCTTTTGCTCATCACATCCTTGGGTATTAGCCTATTCATCACCCATCACCCTGACCTTCCGGACCCTCATAATCCACATGATACTTATCCTTTTGATTAAACAAACGTAATGGCCTTTTCACGAATAATTAATCCGCTGTCACTTCACTCTCAGCTTCAGGCTTTTAACTTTAATGTTGAGCTATCCAGCATGTGTTACCTTTCAAAGCCTTACTCCCTCCAGCCTCTTCCATTCCAGGGTTTAATATTGCTTTAGAAACTCCGAAGTTCACTATGCTAAGGCTTTTTTCTTTAAACAACTGAGTAACTCTCATCCTTCCTGCAGAGTGTGTGTGTGTGTGTGTGTGTGTGTGTGTGTGTACAGGGATCAGTGAGAAGAAATAAAAGCCATTTTTAGATTCACGTATTCCTCATTTTAGGAAATGTGGAGGCATATACTATAAAGTGGAAATTCCATTGTGTTTAAAGAAATAGTTCTGTCCTTGTGTATGTGGCCGTGTTTCTAACTACTGATGTCTTCCACAGCGACAATTTATACCAAATGACCTCCCAGCTTGAATGCATGACCTGGAATCAGATGAACCTAGGAGCCACCTTAAAGGGGTAAGGAACTTATGTCTGTTTAAATCATTTTCAGGGTATTTATTGCTTATAAAGGGAGCACAGGCCTGGGCCTAGAAAAGGGGGTGTAGCTCACAGTGGCACCCAGCGGCTTTCCTTGCTCTCCCAGTTGGAGGGGTGTGTTCAACATTAAATTTTCAAAACTGAAAATGGGATGTTTTTGTCTGGAGCAAGGGAACAAGGAATATTTCTTTGTTGAATGTTTTAGAATTCTTCAAAGATGTTGTGGCCATGAAACTCCATTGAATATTTATGTGTTGCTGGCGCTATCACTGATGTTAACCCCTGCATTATCTTATCAAGAAATGCTTTGCATGTACAAAGTCTATGAACTGTACTGGTGTGGTGTTGACTCGAACAACCTGAAGTTAGATGCGTCCATTCCTGGTTGCACTGACAGACGGGCTTTGCTCATACAAGATGTACATGCACTGGAGGGGGAGAGTTGTGGCTACATGAGCTTCTCATTGCACCTAAAACGGAAGCAAGGAAGACAGCGGAGCTGGATGTCAACAAAGAGCTCATGTGTAGTTTCTAACATGTCCGAGGAGATGACAGTGGTGTGAGCCTGAGATGTCAGGTGCTCTTCTAGCTCAGGGCACCTCGGCTTTCTAACAGGCTTCTGGACTCCAGCCAGGCACTATTACCTGAGTTGCATATGAATCAATAAATCCTAGGGAGTCAAATGACTTCCTAAGGTCCCACCCGGTTAGCAGGAGAGTTTAGATTCCAAGCCCACATCTTATTCCAAAGTTCAGACTCTGTCTAGCCTTTCTGGGGTACCTCTGACCCCACCAGTGGTGCTCGGAACATATTTCAGCACTCTCCACAAGACCTTTAGTGTCAAAGTTTCTCAGTGGATTCTGGGAGTCAGGGGTTTGCCAGAACCATGCATCCTCCATTCCCCATTCCCTACCTCTTCTTCTCTTCTAGAATGGCTGCTGGGAGTTCCAGCTCAGTGAAATGGACAGAAGGGCAGAGCAAGTGAGTGGACAATGACTTTGTTGACTGACATGTGGGGCAATGCAGGAGTTAGGTCTAACAGGGGGGAATCAGGGCAGCAGCTGGGAATAGGGAAGATCTGTCCCCGCCTCAGTCCTCTCCTGGTTTATTGTAGACTTATCGCAGACTGCATGGCGTTGGTGATATTTTTCTCATCGACATCCGTGCAAAACAATAAAAAAAATCCATGCAGCAGGAACCCTGCTCATTTCCTTGTTTCATAGAGCACTCTATTTGTGGCATCAAATGTGCTCCTATAGGTCGGTCAGGTCTTTCTTCCAGCTTTAGTTTGTTTAACCTTGCTTTTCTCCATTGCTTTACATTTTCCAGGGAGAACTGTCATTTTACCCTGACTCTGAGGGCAGGCTTTGCAGAGACATTGGTCTCACTCATTCTGTTCTTAAACTTCTGTAATTCCCCAGCCGTATAGCGCAGTTTGGGACATTTCTGGAACTATTTCTTTTGATTTTGTTTTCTCTGCTTAAACATCAGGACTGCCCTTCATCTTCCTTTCTTCCTTTGTGGGTTTTGTCCCCCTTGCTGGATTTCCTTCAGCCAGAGGAGCCACATTTTTGTCTTCTGAGACCTTTCCCTGTCCTCCAACTTTTCTGCTACTTTATCCAAGCTTCTACTCCTTCTCTGTGGATCTGAGAAAACAGAACAAAAGCCTTTGTAGCTCTGAAATGGCTCTCTCTCCATTTCCATTAACCTCACTTTTTTTTTTTTTTGGGTTCTACCCTTCAGCATTCAGAATTTAGTGTTTCTGGCCAGATGAAATGTCAGAGTGTGACTGTAAAGTAAGCAGTATATTTTGATTATAAAATATTCTTGTCAGGTAGTGGTGGTACACACCTTTAATCTCAGCACTCAGGAGGCAGAGATGGGTAGATCTCTGAGTTTGAGGTCAGCCTGGTCTATAGAGCAAGTTTCAGGACAGTAAAGGATACGCAGAGAAACTCTGTCTCCAAAAATAAAAAGCGAAATAAAACAAAACAAAAAAATTTTAATGCCAGAATACAGACTTCATGGTTTTTGTTTGTTTGTTTTTTAAAAAATTATGGATAAGGAGTCTTGGCATGTATCTGATCCTGGGTCTTTCAACAATTGAGACAATTTTGGTATGTGTTTATTTAGCGACTGTGTAGTTCTGGCTAGCCTGGAACTCACTATGTAGAACAGGCTGGCTGGGAATTTACAGAGATCCACTTGCTTTGGCTCCCAAGTGTGTCGCCATGCTTGGCTTGTGTAAAATGTATCATTTGGCAGGGGTTGGAAACTGTATCATCACAATGTGTTTGTATGAAAAAAATGACAAGAGTTTCTACTGATTCATTACTTTCATCTTGGAAAAAGAGTTATGACATAAAAATGGGTTTCTTGAGTACTGGCTGTATTCAGAGCACTGTCTGAAAAATAATTGATTTTTCCTAAATGATGAAAAATACAACTATACTCATGATTTCAAGAAAACATCATTTCACATCTCACTGATAAGATGTCAGTTTTTAATTAAAATCCCAGTAGGATTTAAACTGAACCCTACTGCAGCCTGTTCTTGTTTTCTACCCTGGAAGAAATTACATTCATTTATTTATTTAAGATTTATTTTATTGGCCTGACATTAAAGGTAGCACATACCTTTAATCCCTGTACTCAGGACTTAGAGGCAGACAGATCCCTGTGAATTTGAGACCAGCCTGGTCTGCAAAGTGAACTCCAGGACAGCCAGGGCTATGTTAGATAGATTCTGTCTCACACACCTTCCCCCAAAAGATTTATTTGTATTTTAATGAATGGGTGTTTTGCCTTCATGTATGTCTGCACACAACATGCTTGTTGTGCCCACATGGACCAGAAGAGGCATAAGATATCCTGGAACTGGTGTTAGAGATGGTTGTGAGCTGCCACATGGGTGGTGGGAATTGAACTTTGGTTCTCTGGAAGAGCAAGTAGTGCTTTTAACAGCTGAGCCATCTTTGAAGCTTCTCTTTGCCTATTTTTTTAATTTCTTCATGTCCCTTGGGTGCCTTCTTCCATCATTCTCCACATTATTCCTTGTGATTGGTTCTCTAACTGACTGGGAAAAGTCACCTTTTTTGATTAGGCTAGGTAGCCAGTAAGCTCTCAGAGTCTGCCTGTCTCTGGCCCCCTATGCTGGGGTTATAGGTCCATGCTTTTGTGTTGAGTGCTGGCGATTTGAATTCAGGTCTTCATGCTTGCAGAGCAAGTACTCTTACCCGCTGTGTCATCTCCTGAGGCAAGAAATTCCTTTTTTAAGTGCAGTCCTAGGACAGGACATTGCTGGGGAGTCCTTGCTGAGCATAAGTACTCCATTTTGAAAACTCTATTTCCGACATCTTGTTCTGTCTACTTTGTGTTTGTTTAAAAACATTTTCTTTGTGTATCCTTAACGGCTGCTGACTTCCTAAGGCTGCTGACAAACCTCAGCTACCCTGCTGGCCTCTGTTTTGTCTCTTCTGAAGAAAAAAGCCTGCAAAATGGAGAAACACTTCAACCTTGACTGTGGTCCAAGTTATTAGAACAAGGAGGAAGTTACTCTCTGGGGACTGGGTAGGGGGAGTGGGAAATCCAACACAATAGAAACTCAAAAGGAGCACTGAGCAAAATCAATGTCCCTATGCTGGTCCAAAAAGTTCACAGACTGTTGGGAACACACAGTATTTGACCTGTGGATGCTGGAAAGGAAAAACCCAGAAGTCTCCCAAGGAGTGATGTATGGGGAAACAAAGCTGTGTGTTTTGGTGGGGCCAAAGCTGTCAAAGCTGGAGAAAATCCCCACTAGACATGGTCTCATCCCGGAGAATCTCTGCCAAAAGAGATAGCCGAGGCTCTGGCTAGATGCTCCAGCACAGCTCCACCACACCTTCCCTCGGCGCCTGCGCATATACTACCTGTCCTAGAGATTTACTTCTGAACAACAGATAACCTGCCCTTAAGTAGCTTCTGGCACCTCAGATGCCAAAGCAAAGGTGGGAAGCCATGACTGCAGGAACGCTAGCAGCTCCGTGAACAGATCATTCTCGAGCTTGCTTTTCACCCGTTGCCCCAAGCTGTTCATTTCCCCTTCCAAATAGCTCCCTTTCTGCTGCAGTAGCAGCCCCCTCCCTCCCTCTTGTATTGCTGGGACAGGATGCCTGCTGATATCATGCATGCTAAGTAAGTTCTCTGCCACTGAGTTGCACAGCTCAAACCCCACTTCTTTATTTTTGCCGCGCTTTGGACCTGGCAGAGATCTGATATAGATCTACTACCTGAAGAATGGGTTCCTGGAGTCCCTGTCTGGAGACAGAGACTCAAGATTCAGTGCAGGGCCCTCATCCCTCTGGGTACAGGAGGTCGGGAGTACCTAGTCTGCTTTCTTGTTCTTACTCCCCCCCCCCCCGCCCCTTGTTAGTGTGTTAGTGCTTGCAATTTTTAATTCCTTTAAGTATTTGTGAAAACCAGAGCATTCAGAAAATGCAATAATAAGGGAAGACAACAACCCCCCCCCCAATCCCAGTAGCTCAGAGGACTATTATTGATATTGTGTTGAACACTCCTTTATATTTTCTATGGACGCATTTGCCCCTGTGCCATTTTTCTTCTTAAAAAATGGTTGACTCCAGCTACCGAGTCCAGTAAATGCATATTGACAAGCCATCACAAAACTGGAGTTTTAAACCCCATGAGGGTGTTGATTACTGGAAAATACTCCCTTCAAATTATCTCTAATTTAAAAATATTTGGGGGGGTCACTGTAGGCTTCTTGCCTACAGTGTTTCTCAGTGTTCAGTTTTAAGGTGACAATTATGTTCATCTTAAAAACACGAGGGGTAAATGACAGGCTTATTTTGATCAAGGTGAGAAAGAAAAGATGGGGAAGGAAAGTAGTGCCAAGGGGCCAAGTTGGAAATGAGGATCATGGCAGTTTCCACACTTGGAGATGAAGTGAGGTTAATGAGTATTCTTATGGGTGGTGAGGGGAGAATGAACGATGTATTATAGGGAAACAGGGCTCACCAGATGAGGGAAGGATATCATGACCCAAGGCATATTTCAGATCTGGTTCCTCCTGGCCTTTCTGAGACTCCCCTCCCCCCCAACTACCCACCATTTTTCCTTCTTGCTGTCATCTGCTCAAGACAAGATAATAATCTCCAGCTAGGAAAATAAAATACTGATTTAGAATGCACACTATTAAAAAGTTGTTCAAATGATCTCAGAAACGAGGGGCTACTGCATCTTTTAGCAGGTGATTTTCTACTGAAAACAAACACATTTATTTGCCTTAGCTGTCTTCCCAATTCCTCACTTTTGAGACAAAGCCACAGATGGAGTGCTCCATAAAGCAAAGATGCTCTATTTATCTAAAATGAAATCAGTTCCCCCTTGATTAGGAAATAACACGTTTCTCATTAGAAATTCATACAGCACTAAAAAATTATAAAGAAATCACCTTTTATCTCACCACTTAGATGATTTTTAAAAAGTAACAATTTGTTGTGTATGTATCTGCAGTAAGAAAATACTGGAATCATTTCTCTATTACAGCAGTTATCCCTGGATGGACTGGAGAGAACTGGGAAAGCCTGATAGATGGGTTTAAGAGATTGCAAAGCGTGTAGTTTACTGGTAGTGTTCTTGCAGATATAATACACTGGAGACAGCCTATAAAGACAACTTCTTCAGGCAGGGTTACACAAAGGGGAATAAAGACACAAGGACAAGGGTTCTTGTTGATTGGGGAAGCAGGTCAGGAGAGGGTGGATTTCTTTCTTTCATTTTACAAAAAATTGTTTTAATTTGTAGGAAAAGTAAGCATGGCATATTTGTTTGCAGATGGGGATGATCAAAAATATCAAGTGGGTGCTGGAAGGGGATGGTGGAGCCATGTAGGTGTGGGGAGACTAGACTCCTTAGGCTCTGCAGAGCTGCTGGCTGTAGGGAGAAACTGGGCTAGTTCATCTAGGAATGGAATTACT